TTTTTTTACAGCTGTTGGAAATGGATTAGGCAGCAGAAAGAAATGAAAATGTCCATGAGGGAGACATAAATTTGCCCTATTTTTGAATTGTGAATACTTAAAATAAAAAAGTGCTGTGGCTGCTCTACTTTTCCACTCCTTTCTTTCTTTGGGGAAGTGTTTGTTGGTTAAACCACAAGCAACCATTTATAATACATGTGTAGTTTCTGTAGAAAGCAGGTGCCAACGCCGCTTCGATTGTGTTTCCTGTTCCTCGCGTTCCTCCATGATGTGCGAGATGCTTCCCTCATCATCTCTCGCATCTCAGCCTCTTTAATGTTCTCTGCAAATGAGTATATTTCCCATTTAAAACCGTCCTACTGGTTTCTCTACTTGGTTCTGCCACATCAACACGGCCTGTCATGACTATCAAGGGGAGGCGAACCAGTGTTCCTGAGCTAAATGTTAAACTGTTCAAAGGCTCAGTGGTTCGCAGAAAGTTGTTAACCTTAATGCATTGCATATCCATTAAGCATTATGGAAATGGCTCCGGTGCGGCGTGATTGGTTTAACTGAAAGCTTATTAGCATCATATCTCGGGGAAAGGTAGGGAGTAGTGTCACATATACCAGGGGCGACATCTGCCTGCTATCAGACAACCTGGGCAGTGGTGGTGTGGGCTGTCTCATGGTAATATAGTGATCTTGTTAGGAGATACCGTGGAGGAGCTACCACCTCTATCTGTATGCAAAATGAGAGGAATTTCTGATTAATGAATGTGACAGCATATCCATCTATGGACTCTGCCCTCTTAGCCATGTTTGGAGGAAGCTTGTGTGGTACATCGTTGAGGATATGCTTTAAATCATCTTTACAGTGCGTGCATGCTACTTAGCTTTCAAATATAAGCCTGGTCTAATCCAAGTTGCAATTCTCATTGCAGGTAAGTGGTTCAACTATGGTATCATCTTCCTCGTGCTGATTTTGGACCTTAACATGTGGAAGAACCAGATCTTCTATAAGCCCTATGAATATGGGCAGTATGTTGGGCCTGGTGAGAAGATCTTCACAGTGGAGGAGCCAGAAACCCTCAAGGACTTCAATCACAGCACACTCACCTACGAGTGGCGCTCCACCAACGTTGACCCTAGGACCAACTTAACCTACGTGGAGCGGGACATGTTCCTCCACAGCCGCTACATTGGAGCCAGCTTGGATGTGAAATGCCTGGCCTTTATTCCGAGCCTAGTGGCGTTCGTACTCTTTGGGTTTTTCATCTGGCTGTTTGGTCGATTTCAGGACAGCGAGACCTTCACAGAAAATCCAGACAAGAGTTACGAGAGGATAAAGAGGAAGTCGCCATCCGAGTACAGCAAGGAGATGGGCGCGACGCCAGAGGAGACACATGTCACTATGACCGATAGCCTCAAACGATCGGGAACGCCGATGCTTCTGTCGGTGGATGGGCCGCACTTTGGAGCGACACCCTCTACGAACTCTACGATTTCCATGGAAACCCAAGAGACACATCCGAGCATTGTGATCGACAGCACGGAGCAGGATGAACCGGCAGTCTCTTTCGATGTTCACAAATTCTCCCCGTGACTTGACGAACCTCTGAAACTTTGTACCTGCAGACAGGTTGGAACCAACATGATCAATGGTAAACAACTCGAGCATGTTTATTCAGGACAGCACGAGATGTCAGAGGAGGATCTTTAACACAGTGCTTCAAGTGAAGGACAGAGTGTTATTTACCTAGCCTAACCTTGATGGCTGTTCCAGTCATATTAATATATTTTTGTACCAAAAGCATTTTAAAAGTCTTTAAATGGCACCAATTCTGATACATACCAGATCCATTGCAAAACCTCAACTGACCAGGTGCTACCTTGGATTTTACATTTTCCTAATTCAATTTTGTCAAGGTACACTAACAGGTGCCTGTAACAGAGAACTATTTCTACAGATGTGACCTTCAGTTAGTGGAGTTTTATTGTTTCAAAACAGTGTTATAACTACAGCAGTGCCTTGATATTTCACATATTCAGATACGCAAAGCATATTCTAAACAGCCTGTGTGACCATCCGGATCTGCTTTACTAATGTCTGACATACTGTATGCTCTTATCATATCGACATCATGTTACCTCATTTGATCCTGAAACTTTATCATTTTAATTTATTCTCATGCGATGTCACTCTTACTACATTTTAATTGTGTTTATGACCATCGGTGTACGGTGACGACCTCCTCATTTACCCTCACTTGATTTTAGTTGCAAAGATAATAAATGCAATCAGCAGAGATCAAATAGCTAAACACCAAGCCACCTCATGATTGCTTATGCGGCTGCTGCACCTTTACTGAATACCAACAGAGGGAGAAAAGGTGGTTTTTGCCCTTGGCATAAACATAAATGTAAACCATTGAAGTGCAGCGGTGACTTCTCCAAAGCTCAGGGCTTCTTTATGTAAAGCTAATGGTTGTAAAAGCAGATTTTCTTTCCTGTTTTATTGCATGAAAGAAAAGGTGCATTATCCTACTGTAAAAGAAACCCTCATTTCAAACATAACTAAAAGCTGCAGCATTTTAGCTTAAACTGGCTTTAATGTGTAAAAGTGTTTGTACACCTAAGTTTGGGGGGTGTTTGGTCCAAAAACATGTTCTTTTTTGTTTTTTTATACAATAAAATACCCATCTAAATTAAGTTTGTTGTTAATTATATAATGAACTTGCTCATGCTTTTGACCAAAGATGCTCAATCATGCAGTATTTTGAACATATTTGCAAGAAAATGTGATGATTTGAGACAAAGACATGTACGCACCGAGACAACGCAAGATAGCATGTGCTCTTGTTGTACTCTGCATTGGTATATAATGCACAATATTACACTGTGGCTGCAGAAATAAGAAACTATGACATATATCTATATGATATTTCTCAAATAGTCTGCTTTGTTTGCCAATGAAAGGCACAGCAGTCATCATGTAACAGAATATGACCAGATTTCTTACATTTTGTAAACTATTATCTACAGTACAAATTAATATAATTACATTCACATTAATGGATTATCGTTTAATTTTTTTTATCTTTAATTTTTGAAATGACAAAAACAATTAAAATGTCTTTTATTTAAGGTTGAGGTCCTGTTCTGGTAGAACATTACACAGTGGAGTTTCCTGCATTTGTGTTTTTGTGTGTGTGAACTGGAAGCAGAGCGAGAGAGAGATGTCCACTTGTGTCTGTACATGATGTTTTATACTTAACAGTCCGTGTGTGTGTGTGTGTGTGTGTGCAGACACATGTGAAGTGTGTAGGTGTTTGCTGCTACACTTCTTTTCAACAAAGGCCATTCTGTGAAGAGGTCAATTTATTCAGCATAATTGGTTTGCAGCTTTTGGTTTAGTAATTATCCTTTTATACATTAAAGCTCTGTGAAGACATTAGATATTAGTGTTTTACCAAAGGGCAGAACCTCTTTGGACATGAAGGGGCTCTAATATGTTTGGAATGCAGCTGTAATTGTTTGGGTTAAAAGTGAGGCCTTTGTCTTGTTCGGACTGTTTTCATTGTGTTGTGCTGCATAACTGACAATTCCTACAAGTTCCTCTCTGTTTTTTGAAGCAAAGGGGATTGTTTTGTGTTTCCACAGTGTACTGTACTACTGTTGAACCTTGTGCTACCAATAAATTAATACATTTTTTACATTCTGTATCACTTGACCACTTTCCTTAATTCTTTTTGAACAAGGTTGCTGATCTCGATAAGTAACTCGCAAGTTAAGTTCTGCTTTTCAGTTTTTCTATATGCTTGGGAAGTATAGTTGCCAAGCAACAGTGCAGGTCAAGCTTCTTGCATCTGCTGACCCAATTAATGTGGGCAACAGGAGAAATAATGATACTATCTCTTCACAAGGACACTCGAATACGTAGCCTGCATACACATAGCACCCAGCTCAGATTAGCATGAGTTCTCCTCTGAGCCTGTCCGTTGTTTGATTTATGCCAGTGGGAAACAATTTGAATTTGTTACTTGTTTTGTTCCCCGGCGGGATTTGTTTATAGAACATGTCTACGTGTAAATGAGTTATAGATTGGATCGAAAATGTCTGAGGGATGAAAACTGAACTCACTGCCGACAGAATTGGTTCCCAGTGTGGTGTTGGGACTCCTCCAATGAGGTTGAGAGAAAAATCTGAAGGGCCTTGAGATGATTGATAATATATTAAAGAAGAAAAAAAAAGTGCTTTGTTACAGAGAATTATGGCACAGTACGGCTTTTCATCTTTGCTGTTTCCACGCTGGATTCAAGAGGAAATTTTGAAAGGAATGTTGCGAAATTTTTTAAAGGCACTGAAAGAATCCTACAAATGTTAGGGATCACATTTATAGAGTGAACGAGAGCCAGTCGCCCACTGTGCGTTTAGTGTTAATCGGCGAATGTTACTGTGCGAATTTGCTAAATTTATATGACACGGATGGTAGACATAAACACCAGGATATAGTTATTGTGAGCTCTTCAACTTTTACCCTTTGTCTCAAAGTGCAGCTGTGTCTAAATAAGAGATGCCGATTATGAGAAAGGGCTGAAATCCAACCAGTGGTTAATGAGAAAATACCACACAGAGGAGTGCGTTATGACAGATCTGTGATGTAACAGTTATTCACTTTCACTAGGAAATATTCAACAATTCTTCTAAGACTCTTGGATGTGCTGATCGCAAATTTAACTATAAAACAATCTAATTTAAATTGTTTGTTCTATTAAAAATGCTCCAACACCACAAACACGGTCATATGGTCCAGTTTGGCGACTCAAATGAGCTGGGAGCTATTCTGTGTCGACATCCATGTATTATATGTACATATTCTTGCTTATAATACAGGATTTCACTCTCTTTTTGGGACTACCAGATGTTACCCTTCAGATCAAGTCCCATACACGCATCTTGGCCTTGCAGGTTTTTTTTCTTGTAAGCTCTTCTGTTTTGACATATATGCAAAGATTCTATTAAAAAGGGTTGCATGTAAGCCTAAATCTAACCCATTCTTAAAGCATGTGGTTGTTAATAGATAAAAGGGACTGCAGGGGTTGCTGCTGATAAAAAGTGGTTGATCGTTTTAGGTTAAATCATGTTAAACAGTGACTGTTTCATCCATCAGCTGTAGAAAGCTGCTTCACGGGCCTGGAATCCAACCACCGGTTTAACACAACAAAGGAGTGACTTATAAAAAATCTGTAATGTGACAGAAGCAGTTAAACAAACTGATGTGAGACTATGCTATCGCAGGTGTCATCCAATCCAGCACTCCACTGTCAGTAACCGTGTATCCCGGCATGTGTAATTGCACCCACAACACTTGAATCCTGCTGTGCCATTCACTGCAAAATTAGCTTTAATAAGAGCCTCAGCTAGATTGCTTCAGTAGTAAATATTAAAACACCTGCGGTGTGAAAACCAAGCAGATTTGTGAATACCTGAGGTCTCACGGATGCTTGTTGTTTGTCTGTGAAATAAATCTCATTGCCAGAGTGTATTAGCTGTTTTTACTGAGGCCTCTTCCAAGTCTGCCATTGGGCTGAGAAATTAGATATTGATTTTTTTTTTTTTTTTTGAGGACCATGCAGAAAGTGAGAGAGCACATCAAAACAGGCATTTCAAAAAAAATGTTTATGGGGTGTTGGAGCCTGATACCCACGTTGTCTTAAAAGTGTATCGACTTCTCCCTCAATGCCGTGGATGCATTCGTGTTGGAAACGTTCATGATCAATTCCTTTCTGTCTGGTAATCAAATTTTTAGCTTGCTTCTTTTTTTCATGACAGAGAAGCTTTCTTTCAAACGGACTTCAGGCACCTTTGAAATGTTCCCCATTATTTACTATTTGTTCCAATAGCATGTCTACAAATCCAAAAAGACATAAGAACTGCTTTTTGAGGGAGGATATGAAGCACTATTGTTGGACCTAGAGCTAAATATAAGCCAGAAAAATTCTCTAGAGGGAATGAGCCATAGCTACAGATCAACTGGAATCTTCTCTACTGTCTTTGAGCTATCCTCCAATTAGATCAGTGTATCATGTCCTGGCATGGCCCATCACTCTGTGCTGGCAGCTCCGTGACTCTTAGAGACCTTGTGAAATTTATCAGTACTGTCAGTCCCAGCCAGCTACAAGGTTTCCCTTCAGTCTTTTCACCAAGTCTGAGATGGTTTCTGTCCCCAGTGGCCACAAGGGAAAGAGAATTCATCAGCAATTCCTTCTGCGGGTTTCTGATACCTAACAGAGGAACATGTGGCTCGGATAAATCTCTCAGAACCTCCAACAAGTCACTCAGAGGACTGAAACCCCAGGGGTGGGTTTGTGATAATGATGTCTGCCTTACTCTTCCTGTGTCGAGGAAGAGGATCAAATTTTATTCAAATTGTTCGTAAGTTATATAAAATGAAGAGCTGCTTGGTGAATATTAAAAAAAAAATTCAGTTGCAATGTCCTTCAGTGGAGCAGCAGGTGAATGACGATAAAATCCAGTGTTGGGGAAAAATGTCTCTTTTTTTTTTTTTACCAACATTGGACCTACAAAACTGAAAATATCAATCAGAAAAATATCTAATAGAAAGATATCTGTCACTGTGCAGCGTATCTCTTTGTGAACAGTGGAAAAAGTTGATCTTGACATTGTAAGCCTTGCTGCAAAACTCACACACTGCACTGTTTTAAATAGTTTTATATAATATGTTAAAGTTCAGCTCCATCTCCCGACCTAAGCACACTGAGATTTAAATCAGCTGATATTTTCAGGTGACTGAAATACCAGAAAATACTAGTAAGTCATAGCAACTGACCAAGAGACAGGGGTGTAATTTCGAGGAGGGTTAGGGAGGTTATGACCCCCCCCCCCTTCAATAATGAGATCCAACCAATATAACTCCCCAATAAAATTATGAATTATCTTGCATAAATAGGCTGTTGATTTTCTTTACTCATTTCAGGTATTACCAGCAAAATAGTTGCATGTTTATGTTTAATCATCTGGGAATTTACCCAGATTTATTTATTTATTTCGACAGAGATCTTAATCCCCCAAGTGTTCAGCACAAAATTACGCAGATGCCAACGGTCAGAGAGGAGTGTCCGGAATGCATGGAACTGATAGGAATTCAATTCAATTCAATTCAATTTTATTTATATAGCGCCAAATCACAACATAAGTCGCCTCAAGGCGCTTCATAAGGCAACAGTAATTAAAGAAACAAAAAAACACTCTTTGCAACTGAGGAAAAAGCATCAAAACATTGAAGCAGATGGCCTGCACTAGCAGAAGACCACACTGGGTACCACTACTGGTACTGAGGCTTCAGTTTGCACGGGCTCACTAAAATTGGACAATAAAAGCCTGGAGAAATGTTGAGACTTGATTGCTGCTGTGACATTAAGATGGCAGGGTCAGAATTTGGTGTAACCATCATGAACGCGTGTATCCACCAAATATGCTATCGGTGGTGTGTGGGATATTTTCTTGGCTCACTTTGTGCCCCTTAGTCCCAATTCAGAATTGCGTAAACACCACAGCTTACCTGAGCATTGTTGCTGCCCGTGTCCATCCCTTTGTGACCACAGCGTTCCCTGCTTTCCGACTGCTGCTTCCAGCAGGATAGCACACCTCCTGGTTTCCAGCAACTTGTTGAGTCAGTGCCACAAAGAATTAAGACAGTTCTGAAACCAAAATGGGGGTCTGTATACTAAACTGTATAATACAGTTTTGTTAATCTCCTGAGGAGGTTCTTCGTCGATTAAAAACAAGTTCATATGAAATAATCAGTACTAAATATCCTGATTGTAGCACCTTTGGCTGCACCCACAGTTGAAGCTGGAACCAAAAGCTATAGGTGCTGTGGGCACAGTGAGCACTTGTGTGGATGTTTGCTGTAACACAGACAATTCAAAGCGGCTTCCATTCTTGCTTTGGCTCATGCACTACATGCTTATGCATTAAGTCAATCCCGCACAAGCTGTGACAAATAAGTAGAATGAACAGAGTTTACCCTGCAGCGATAAGAGGTACAAATACACGCAAATGCTATAAACTGCACATGTCCATGTAATTCCCTACACATAGTACATGCATGAGATTGCCAAGTCCAAAAAAGATGATTTTCAGGTGATTGTATTATTGCATGCTCCTGGTATCTTTTTGTCAGATAAAGACCCTTCTCATTCTTCAGAGTGGAGTGGATTTTGCAGACCAATTAGAGCAATTTGAAGGCTATAAGATCACTGAAAACGACATGTCAGCCCAAATGTATTACTAATGCGTTTTTTTTTCTCTTGATTTAAACTCCACACTTAAAGTAAAACTGACTTTTCACTGATGCCTTGCTTCACCAGCTACAATCACAATGATATGTGTGGTCATTAACAGTGAATATAGGACAGGCAGTGAAGTGGACTCCCCGTGGGTACAGGCATCTGTTGCAGAGGGTTCAGCACTGCCATGGAAAATTGGACATTTAGGAGCCAGCTGGAGGACCAGTCTGCCCTGCTGTGCCACCACTACTCAGGTGCCCACTGGCTTCATGCCACCACCAGCTAGAAGCCACTGGACCAAAGCAGGCCAGATGGTGCCCTTGCCAACCAACGAGCAGCCGCTGTGAACTGTCCACTGCACACTGTCCACTGCCCTATCATTCAACTCAGGGATGAGTTTGGAGTCATGATAACCTGAGTTAAAAAAAGTTTTTGGAGCGAGAGCGATGCAGAAACAAAACAAAAAAAAAAGGCTCAAGTGAGCAGAGTGTGTGTTGGAATATAAATGGGCCCCCATTACGTTGCGTGTTTGTTAATGTAAGCAGCTGCGAGGTAGAATCAGTTCGTGGAGAGAGACTTTTCCACAGGGAAATAAAGCCATCTCCGGGCTGAACTCATTTGTCTGTGGCTGTGAAGGGATAGATAATTATATTAGGAGCTTTAAGTGCTCTTCTGCGATACAAGTATTACTACCATCTCCAAAGGCACAGGACAAAGTCGGGAGGAGAGAGGAATCCGTGTGCTACAATTGCAGCAGTCGTTGCTCTGCATCCAAATATGCAGACATGAAAGTGTATCCACCACACGGGGCTTTGTATAAAATCCAATCACTGATAGAACGCTGCTAGATCTATAAATCACACAAATTTACTTATCCAGTGTACAATATCTGCGGGGGACAAAATCTCTGACTTTCCTCAGAACAAATTAGTTTTGATCAGTGTTTGTTCTCTTAATTGTTTGAGCTTCACTGTGCAGAATAATGTACGTTCACAGCGTGGCACTAATTCCAATTCATCAGCCAAAAGCGTAAAGTTCCCCCAACCTGAGTGTAAGGTGTGCACCGTCACAGCTAGTTTGGAAGTGAATCACGAGCAGCTTAAACTTAAAGCCAAGCTTGCGTGGCACAAACACTGAGAACAAGGTCTTTGAGTGTGGTAGGACTCATTTTGTGTCCGGTTATTCATTTTTTCACAGAACTAGGAGTAGTAAAAAGGCATTGGATTTTTTTAATGGAAAAAGATATTATTCAAAGCAGATCATTTTTATATCTAATCTTAACACAAGCCTGGCGATGGTTCTAAAAGGGCACGTTTACAAACCATCTTTTATGTGCAAGGCATCAAATTTACACCAGCATTCATAATCAGTCAATCTATCAGTGTTTATTTCATTTTTAATGTGTGACTGCAATAATATGACCGATGCTTTCACATTAAAATGTTTTACTGCTGCAACCCGTGGAAGGGAAATTCGTTTTAAGTGTTTTATGTACACACGGCTACCTGAATCGACTAATGATGCGTCATATTTTATAAACTGGGTAATCTGTCTGTAAAATGTAACTACATAAGTAGTGTGTTTGTTTCATGCTCAAGTCACTCCCTGTATGTTTAGTTTCCACAGCCATTTCTTGCCTCACCTGTAGCCAGTCTGCCAGTTGACATAGTCTATAAAGTCCTCCACTGCCCTTTTGCTCTTTGTCCGATCGACTTCACAATCTCAAGCTGTCCAGACATTTTTTTGTTTTCACTCTGCTTGTGGGTTTTCTTTGTTCCCTCTGTTTTTCTTATGTGTAGGGTTCCTCGTCTCCTCTTTTTATGTCCTCCTGCCTGGGACCCGGAAATCAATCTCAGTATCCCATGTTGAAGGATTTCTGAATTGCTAAAATGGATCAGAGAGGAGAAGGCGGGCTTGCAGAGGAGCTATGATCGAGGATGCGCAGGTGTATCCTGTGCATCAGCATATAAAAGAGGCGTGGCACACAGCCAGAATACACAAACCGTGGTGGGTCATTCTTCAAACAAGCAGTGATTTGTATTGTTTCGGTTTTTAAGATGATTGTGAGGCATGTGATTCAGGGTTTGGGTTTTTTTTTTCCAGTATTTGTATGTGTGTGAGAAAGAGGCTGTGATATCTTGCCACATTGCAACTTTAATTAAAACAGCCATGAATATTTAAAAAAAAATGCAAACAGTGTTACCTCTGACTTCACAAAGCACAGGTGTAGTTGGGCTTGAGATTGCTTTAAAATAAGGCTCTGGAGCAATACTACATCATGTTATATACTCAATGGCTCAGCTCACATCTCTGATTGGAGTGACTAGGATCGAAGGAGAGGAAAGGAGGGGATGTGCAATGAGAAAGAGCGGAGGTTTTTAACTTTTTGTCCACACCTTTGTTTGCATATTTTCAATCTCCTAGAAATTATTAGAAAATGGATTTAAGACTTTAATCTGCCTGATTTCCTTTTTAGGGGTCTTCTCCTCTGAACAGTCACAGTGTCTTACACTCTGAGACTTCAGCAAAGTTTACTGCATGTCATGCTGTGCCACATGGATCTAATAAATCCAGTTTTATGTATGCAGACTGTAAGATGATATAGTCTAATCTGCTCAGGCGCTACAGCACATGGTTACAATCCCTTCTCCATTTGTTCCCACGCTATACATTCATCGGTGCAGTCATGCTGGAGGATGAGTACAGACAAACACGTCTGCTACCTAAAGTTAATCAGATTTTCTTCTTTGTTGGAATAATCGCAAACATTTTGTAATGCATGTTTGTGTTTTACAAACTAACAGTGAACCCAGAAACCTAAAAATCTAATTAAAGCCACTGTATGGCCAATAAAATCTCATATCTGTTAAATCTGTTACATAAGAAAAAGACAAGCAATTAATGTAAATGGAAATACTTTATTTCACTATTACACAATAACAAGCTGGAAAAAAAATTACAAAAAAGAGAAATGGAACAAAATGCTGCAAAGCACCACATAATTTAGACGACTCAAATGTGGCAACGGAACCTTATGCTAACTGCCTTTGCTCTAGCTAATGTATCATCATCATCATCATCATCATCATCATCATCATCATCATCATCATCGAGAATTTAGAAATCAAAAAATATTTGGACATCAAGCAGAGTCATGCCAGTAATAGTAATATTTTACAGTTTCATGTAGCAATGATTGGGAGTGGGGAATGGTGACCCTTAAAGGTTCACTCTAAGTGGTGAGACATAACAAAGTGGTGGGTTTCAGGAAACCGTAGTCCATCATCTGTTTGGTATGATATACATTTGCATTTGGTATAAAGGAGTTGAGGAAGCAGGCGCCGGTCATAGAGTATTTGCTCTACGAGTTAAAGCTTAGCACCAGATGGGTGGAGTTTACTGTACAGAACATACAATCAACTGTGGCTAATCAGAAGGGAAAGAAAAATACCTGAAAGGTTACATTTTTTTTTTTTACAATTGTCTGTATTTGACAATGTGACACTGGGTGTGTTATTCGGAACTTCCACCCATCTGATTCAGCAGGCCAAAACAAATCCTTACAACGCAAACACTATGTGACCCACGTCTGTGAGGAGGACAGTGAAGAGACACAGGGATGGTGTTATTTTTTATGTATTTTTTTTGTATTTTTTTACATGGAGAACACTGTACAGGTGCCTTCAGATCTGCCAGGACTAAAGGCACATGGGATCCACTGAGCAACAGATGTGTCCATTCTGGAAACACAAAGAAAGAGAAAGAAGAGAGGCACAAGTTTGTTACAATTTAACCTCAGGGCAGCTCGTTTTTTCAACCAGATAATATTTTTGGGTAACAGCAGTGCTGCGGCGCACAGACTCGGTTTGGTATTTAGAGTTTGTCTGGGCGCTAACTGATACAAGGTGGCGATTTCTCACTGAGAAATGTGAACGGTCACAGAGTCACTTTGGTTTAACCCCTTCTACGATGCGTGTACCCCGGAGGTCCCTGTAGTTGGGACTATGCTGCATTTGTTCTAAAAAATAAAACTCATGCACAGTGAAGAGGCTGAGTGTTAATGCTAAAACTAAAAGGATGAAAAATTGCTGTGCTTCATTTCTGTTGAATCAGAAAACTGACTCTTTATAATTACTTTCAAATTTACACTTTTGATATTTCCACAAAGCAATCTCGAAAATCTCTAGCTGGCCTGGTGATGAGGGTGAGGATGCTGCATTTCAAGTATCCAAGAGGCCAAGGTTTTTAATTTTAGGCTTGCATTGTAAAGCTGCTACTCCAAGGACTGTTTTTAGGTGAATTTAAAAACTGCGTGCTAAAATAAAATTTGCCCCCCCCCCAAAAAAAGATGCATAACCTAAAGATGCCTCCCCTCCCCCGCGACCCTGACTCGCATAGAAGAAGAAAATGGCTGGATAGATGAATGGATGGTAGAGATTCCAAAAATTATGATGTTTATTGAAAGTCCTCAGAGAATAGCTGTTATTTTCTGTCTGAGATGCGGACATCATTGCAGGCACGCGCGACGAGAATATTTAATAGTAGAATTTCAAGTGAGGGAGTCAGCCTTGGTGGATTAAGTCCTAAAGCTCAGGCAAACAATTTACGCTCACATTTGGTAATGAAGAGGATATTGCCTGCATAGTTTACTCTCTCCGTGACTGCTCAGCGCTGCAAAATAAAAACTCACGAAGAGCACCTTTCTCCATCTGATTTACTTGAGCTGCTGATGTGAGTGTTTCTCCAGACGTTTTCAGCACTTCATCCTCAAACCTGTGTGCTCCTTTAGCAGAGGGAAGAATACATCCATGATTTCCTGCTGCAGCCGAGCCAGAGGCCAGGAAAAATGACGCTGCCAGAATTTCAGTTCATTTTCATTTAAAAGAACAGTTCGACATTTAAAAAAAAAATTGCTCATTATAACTCAGGTTACAGACCTGAAACAGGAGTCTTGTCATCACTCTGAGGTTGCGAGGCAACCAGTGGATTTACAGCAAGTTGCCGCTCCGAACCAAGAAGCAGGCCAGCACGTTACATTGTAAACCTATAACTTATTTTTACACCCTAATTAACAACTAATTAAAAATGTTAATTAGTGACCTTTAAAGGAGCTGGTAGGTTTATTACCACTCGACAGAGCCTGTTTCTAGCTTTAATCTAACCGACTGCAGCTTCATATTTAGCAGAAATACAGTGCAGTGCATCCGAGTAAGACATTCTCATCTAATCCTAAACAAGAAAAATAAAAAGCACATTTCCCGAAAGTATCAAAGTTCTGCTTCACAGAAAACTGCATTCTTGTTAATAAATATAAATAAAACATGTAATCTATGATCTAATAAACTCAAAATTAGAAAGGGAATAATTGCAGAACAGAACATCATATCTTATTTATTTGAATTGATACAGCAGCCGTCTTGTTCTTAGAATGAATATTAGATTCATTTTTTTCCCACAGCAATTACTGTGTGCATCTTGGTTTAACTAAATAGCTCCCAATAACTGCCCTTTTACAACAACTGGTAAATTCAACTTCTGTGAGGTGTTAAAGATGCACAAATTGCCTTTCTGTTGCAAATACTAGTACTCTGTTTTTGCCCCCTGAAAAAGCACAAAGGGTTCTCACTTTTCAAGCCATTTTTCTTTTGTGTCTTGCCTGCCACCAACTAGAGAAACTGTAATTTGCTGTTTCCATGCTGCCGGCAGGACTAGCAGCTTACCTTGCACTGGCACAGAGTGCACTCTGTGCCATGTTTAATCCAGGAGGAGCCGCTGAAGCGTGAGATGTTGTGCTCGTCCGTACATGTCTTGGTGATGTCGTTGCGGATGGTGTCGGCCTGGCAGGGGTCGGTGACACAGCGGGGACAGCACTCGCCCTCGGGCACCACAGTAAACTCGCAGTCCACAGGCGGGCACGGCAGAGGCCAGCAATCCACCTGCCCCTGCTGCGAAGGTGGAGATGGAATTTGAAAAGGATAGCCGAGCAGAGAGAGAGAAAAAGAAAAATAATCACTGCAAATGCACTTTGCATTTCCTGTGTCTAAACAAGTTATTCACTCAAATGCACATTTCTCCTGACGTAGTGTATTTGTATGCTGGAGGGACCGTCTCGACTTGTAAGGAAGCTAGAAAAATAAAGATGAGCGGCACAGTCTTCCGGCAGCGTCAGCAGTTTTTCCAGACTGTGGAGGTAAATGTTCCACCTTTCTAATTGACTTGTTCTAGTCTCGTTGTTCTCCTATTAATCTTACAGCAAACTTTCGGCGCAGAAAGCCGCCTTGGATTTTTCCCGCTGCCGTTTTCACTGGCCTGAGAAAACGGGTCATAGATTTTGTCCATCCTTGCAACTCTTAACCGAACTGTACTCTACATCATTCTGTCCTGACCCACTTCTGCTCGTGCTGTCATACATGCGCATATCTGCCGCGCGCCTTATTGAAATGAAATATGAGTTCAGACTGTTTATGTTTAAGCACACCAGCAGATATAAAAGGGGTGCGCACGCATGGTGAGGTTTGATGCAAGTGTCCCACCGGGGATATTCAATATCTCTCAAAATCATCTGACTCAGCGTTTCAAAAATGTTGTAGTAAATTAGGCTGGCTATAAAGCGCGCTCTCACACAGAGCTAATGCCCACTCCCTGCTTCTGTGCTGTGTGTAAACATTCGAAGTGGGAAATCCCCCCGAGTGGCACTTTCTGCTCGCTGCCAGAGGGAGGGATTGAGTGTAGCCTCAGGTATCTGTTCCACACTGTGATAGGGGACGATGTCATCTTTGTCTGTTTATGCAGATGTGGTCTGTTATCATACAGGAGAGGCTGATGTCGGGCACAGCTTTTTACAAACAACTGACGCTGGACTTTGATATCTTTGTGATACTTCAGATGAAATCATTTTTTAATATGTCTCCATTCACGATATCTCACTGCTATTTAATCTCTAGATGTAAAGATTTGCTGTTTTTAAGACTGAATGTTACAAAATGCCTCTGGGAAATTAGAACTGGTGACATTTATCTTTGCTTGGGAATTAGCCTGCAATAATTATGCCATTTTTATTCTCAAAAATGAAGCTACTATCTACATGTATGGTTGTGAAAATCAATGGTTTCTTTGATATTTTGGTGATTTAACAAGATGGCAAATTGCAAGTGGCCCGCGTGTGCGCGGTCTGCAAAGGCCACACTCTTGATTTCAAATGATTGCACGGTTCATACAAAAGGATTCACATCTTGGACTTGAGAGAATGTTTTGCCCATCTCCCTGCTGTCACTGTGTATTTTAAGGCCCCCGCTGAGTCTGGACAGCCATGCCTCTGCTAAGTGTAGCTGCATTCAAGGTTCATTTCACGTCCCTGTCACGCTACTGGAGCCCCAGTACGGTATCGCGGGAGCAGCCTTTCAAGTGCTGCTCTTTGTACTGCGTGTGCTGGTGGCCCTTTGCTCTGCGTGTGCCTCTGTGCATCTTAAACTGAGCATTGTTTTATGTCTATCTGTGCGTACATGTGGACATATGTAGGATGTGTGCAGATTTTCAAGCACACGTATACTATGTTTACATTGTGTGTGTGTGTGTGTGTGTGCGTGTGTGTGTTGTTACAGGCGTGCCTGCAATCTCAAATGTGCTCGCGTCTGCTCGTGTCAACACGAGGGCCTACACTGAGTACTGTTTCAGCGAGAGCGATGCTGAAGCAAACCCATTTTCAGCCAACTGCGCTTCCCCGCTGCCCCTCTGCTGAGCGGTGATTTTCAAGCTCTTCTATAATGGCTCGCTGTAAGAAATCCAAAAAAGCAGCTCTCAGGTCCAGGCATCAGGACGGCATTACAATAGAGGGAGGGAGGGGTGCGAGAGGAAATGACATTGCTATTGCTACTCAGACCATAAATCTGTCAGAGTGGAGCCAACTTATGGTATCTTAGCTGCAAGTACGGCTGATCTTTAAAGGCAACAAAAAGAGGATGAAATAAATAGAAAAATAAGAGTTGTAAAGTGCTGCTCTGAGATCCAAAGCAAAGACGGTTTGTGAGTCATTCAACAGAGGAACTGACACTGGTGTGGGTGAGTGTTACAGCATGCTGGAGGAGGGGGTGGGGTTAGGAGAAGACAGTGGGGTAGAATCTAAAGCGTTCAATTTGCATGTGATATGCATATGGAAATATGGTAAGAGGGGCAACACAGGTGGGAAGATTTATTGTTTTTGTCAGGTTTGTTGGGAAACACAAAACGCCTCCCTGTTGCTTCAACATAAACACTGTTAAAACCTTGAAAAGGTCAACGCAGCAGAAGATGTGAACACAAAGAAAGCGGCGCATACGTCTGACTGAGAAAGATCTGTGTAGTGAACGAAATGCTGTTTTGTTTCGAATGGGAAATGGGATTAGATGTAGAGGACACTCGAAACTAGCACCTCAGACATACACGCTGCAGAACCTCCTCAAAGCACAGGAATAATACTCACTCCCTGTTTCACCCTCCCACCTCATAGGCGACACTGTTCCCCTAACCTTGAATGTCTTCTCCAGTAAAACGTGTAATTCCAGCACAGCAGAGAGCAACCCTTACAGTTCTTTGAATTCTTTAAAATTTCAGTAATCACTTGCTTTGGTTTTCCACTTGTGCAGAAGAAAGAAATCTTCATTTTCTCCTCTCTGCAACCTCCCTATTCACCTCTTAATCACTCCCCCCCTCTTGCCACAAAACATCTTTCCTTGACTTTTTTCGCAGAGCACATCTCTCATTCATGAGCATTTCCATGGAGACTGGAGTATTTGTTACATCTCTCGTGTGGGCACTGCGGCACGGCAACGAATGCCTATGTTGTCTTCACTATCACCTTAAACGACACTGCACGAAAGCGTTAAATACCTGCGCTCTTTGAAATATTATCAACGTGCAGGAGGGGGTTGGTACAAGCGCCCTTTACTCACCAGGCACTGACACTGCTGGCAGTTCTCCACCCACGTGTCTCCGCTGCCGTAGGTGAGCAGGCCGTTTTGATGCAGACACTGGCTGCTAAGTCGAGGGTCGCACTCGGGGCAGCAGAACAGGTCGGCGTTGGGATTGTCGCAGTCGCACACCATCCTGCGGCACATCACTTGGCCGGCCTGCGTGGGGAGCACAACTGAGCACTGAGCACAGGATGACGCATGGGCCAAAACAGCTGCACGCACAGACAAAGGCCTCTGCTTTGATGGGATCATTAAACATACATGTTGATGATTAATAATGTAATGAAGGCAGTCTAGCTCATGCCAAGAAAACTGTTCTGAAGCAGCAATTTATGACACGCCAGATTAAAGTGTGTACTCTATGCGTACTGATGCATAGTTTCTATTCATCAGCGTGGTGTTCTCGGTGTTTTCAGACTCCTTCCAAACTCATCAGAGTACAGGAAATAATCGGCGGCTTTGAGAAAGCGTGGTAGGAGTTTTAAGCTTTTTAGGATTTTCTAAGATTTTAAGAATTAACTATGAATTGGTTGAGAGAGAAGAAAAAAGAATTGCATGATAATTGATAATGAAAATAATCAGAACGACCCTGCAGTAGCCAGAAGGTGGTGAAAGGAACAGGTACTTCTGTTGATTGTTTCCACAGAATCTTTATATGTGCATTAATCACGGTGTTTCAAACGCATGTCTAGTATCCCGAGCCCAACAGCACCCATTCATAATAGCGTGCAAATTTTCCATCCAATCCCATTTTAATCGCCGCTTTGCCTTCTTGTTACTGTTTAATTCTAATATTTGGATATTTTTCTGTGGATATTCATACGGTTACATATTTCCCGGCTCAGGATGGATACAGACGATTGTAAAAATAGGAAGTCCGAATTAACTATAGAGCACAAAATTAAATTTGAGTATTTTAAAGGTCCCCTACATTTTGCACGACAGCTCGGATAGGCTTGAGTGCCCAGCCCTGAGCTGAAAAAGGAGTTAATAGAATGGATTGAAAATTGATTTCAAAGCGCATGAGTATGATTTCTTTTTTGTAACAAAACTGACAATAAAGTCTACCTTTCATTCCTTTACATTTTTTGTAAAGAATTGTCAGGAATGCATTCAATGTTGCCAGTTAACCTGGTATTTTGATATTTTTTTCTGAACATGTTTTTGAAATTGGTCCAGATGCATCGATGGGTTACACTCCACCCGTCAGCACTGCAATCAGAGCAAAACAATGAACTATTTGTGTACTGCTTGACCTCGGGCCGGACGCTCTTTGTCTTTTTTCTGGGGTTTGACTTTGGTTTCCCCTCTTCAGTTAATCGCAGCTCTCCATGTAATATCCGGCTGTGTCCACCCACTTCCAAAACAATAACATGTTTACTCCTCTGCTCACTGAACTGCTCAATACGACTAATTTTGACAGGCAGCTCTTCAATCTCTCAAATCAATTAATATGACTCATTTAATTAGGGAGCCATTTCTGCCCTGGACCTTTGTAATCAAATGAATAATTTGCTGCTTGATCATTCACTACCGACACTAATCCACTATAATCACCTTCCACTACCGCCAGACACTTGGCATTAGGTTGAGTGAAATGCTGAAATGCAAAGTATGACTGCTCTGTGACCTGATAATCATGGAGGAAAAAAATGTGTTTAAGATGATGGAATGAGTTTTCTGGACCAACTGTTCCCAGATGCCTTGTCACTTTGATGTCAGGAATCAATCAAAACAAGTACATCAAGAGCCCCGATCACTCTGATAGACCTTTAAAAAGGACTATATAGAGAGAGTAGCTCATGCGCTTTAATTAAGTTGCTCACCACTACTGCATCATCTCCATCCATCCACCCATACATACATCCTGATTTTAGGACTCTAGTCATGCAAAAAGCATCAGATCAAAATTCATTCACATTTTCATGCATTTTCAGTTAGCGTTATTGCTACATTACTAGCTAGAGAATTAGCCTAGCAGACTGCATATCTAAGACGAAAAGCACTCAGACAGCACAAACCTACGCCAAGACAACTCCCTATCTGAGCTGTATTTACTTTTAAGGGAAGAGTATTGTATTTTGTATATAAACGTTATGTAGGAGGCGACCTGTTTAGAGTATACCCTACCCCTCACCCTATGGAAGCTGGAACAGGCTCCCGCCTCCGCACGATCCTAAATTGGACAAGCGGAAAATAATTGATGAATGGATGTTTCATTTGTAAATAATTGAGCATGAATAAACTTATTATATAATATAATAAGATACGGGACATTTTATGAAGGTTGGCATTATTTGACCTTAAAGAAGTGGCCAGAGGTTCAAACTAACATGATATTTACAATCCCCATATATCATTCCCTATATGCCTATATGTTCTCAATACAAACAACGGCAGGAACAAACATAGTTGTAATAAATAGCACTAAAAAGTATTATTATTGTTTTGACCTTTAGGAGAGGAAGGAGAGGTTGGGGGTCAAATGTAAAATTGTAAGTATAATTTCTAAAATAGCTTTTTGAAATCATTACATTGACCTTGGAGACATTGGTGGATGTAAGTTTGATCAGAATTCATTCAAATCTTTTCAAGCTATCGTGTTAACGGACAGAACGCCATGCATCCAAACGCTACCAAAAACATAACCTCCCAGACAGAGGTAATAAAGACTGAAAGTTACACGTGTGGTAAATTGTCTGATCTTGTGCCGGTAATAAATGTTTAGCTCCACACACATTATTAAATTAATATTAAGGGAAGAGTCATTTAGGAAGCTGGCAGGCCAAAAGACTAAAAAAAGAAAAAGGAGATGTGAGACTGGAACCAGGAGCCTTCTGGTTATTACTGAAATACATTTGCTTTACTGCCCTTAGCCACTGGTTACAGTCAGTGTTGGTGACTTTTAATGATCTCTTTACAAAGAAGGCCAAACTGAAATATCCTCACCTGTGGCTTGTTATATGTAAAAGCCAATCATTAACAAAGAATCAAGCTATTTCTGTACAATACTGCAAAGATTTAAAACTGTTCTGTCATTAAGAAAATAGCAAAAACTGGGAAAAATAATAAATACAATGCGTGTTACGGTCAATTTTGAGCCTTTCTACCTCTGTTTTAATCTCCAACAGCTTTTTGAGACTTGTACCTCTTTCTTTAGCTGCTAAGAAATCAACAGCAATCACTGTAGCATGACGAAAATCTGTAGTTGCACTTCTTGCCATCTGTTTACCATGACTGGGTGAATGCTACAATTTCCAATTTCCACAGAGGCAGTAAATGAAATGCAATTTGCTAAGACGATTTTACATTTTTAGACTTTTTGAATTTCGAAAGGTCACTCAGGAGCTAATTCGCACTTCAAAGTTGCCAAAGCTGGGTGCAAATGTTTGCTGTTGATGGGGTGTGACAGTGCCCAAAGGTGGTCTCCCATTTGTCCTACATCAATTATCACATGTCATGTCTAATTAAAAATTAAAAAGGGAAAGAATCATTTGTTGCACTGCTGCGCTTTAGTTGTTGTTTTAATAAAATGTCACTGCTTGTTTAAAGAGAAGCACTCTGACTACAGGATAAAACAAAGTGACGCTTGCTGCTGATTGGTCCTGTGGGGAGCAACATCATTCCGAAAGAAAACCAGGTTTACATTTGCTTTGTTATATTATTGTATTTCTGGTTTAAACACTTGGAAAGCAGAGTGAAAAATAACAGCGCTGAAAACGTTTCACGCCTGGATCAGCTGAATGCACATACTGTAAAAGTGTGCACGCGTCAGAGAGACAGGGGAAATCATTACTCGGCTATATACAGCCGTGGACACGTTTCCTCGTCTTTTCACTTGTCTGCCTCTTTCTGTTTCAGCGGATCCATTTACCTCTGCTTTGTTACTCTGTTCTTGGTTTGTTTGTTTCTTTGCTTTTCCTCTCAGCTTTCCTTGTCTCTGTATTCTCTGCGTATGTCTCAGCCTGTTCATTACCTGGCAGGAGCACACCGAGCACCTATCGCTGTCCAGCACCCAGATTTGCCCGCTGTGCTTGACCTTGTTGTCATGGATACAGTCACCGGTGCAGTTGTGCCCGTGGGGGCACCGACAGTCATAGCCTCCTTCCAGGTTGAAGCACACTGTGTCGTTGGCACAGGTGTTCCTTCCTGTCTTGCATTCATTAATATCTGCAGGGAATACAAAAAGCATGACATCATACATATGCTCTGTGCAGATAACAGTTTCTTCTTTCTTTTTTTTATTACAAGACCAGTAATGTTGCTTTAATAGCAGGGCGATAAGGTACAGGCAGTTTTCCCTGTAAACGTTGATGCTCTTATATGTCGGTGAGCAGCCATGCTTTTATCTCTTTCAGGACAACAGTGCCCTGCCTCTCTGTATGTGAAAATCGCTGAATAGAGGATTTGAAATGCAATTGTAACGTGCAGCAATAGAACATTTTTCAAATCTTGCTGGGAACACGCAGTATACAGCTGTAATGTAACCCAGAAACCCACTTTTGGCAAAATTATAACTTTGCTTTGTGACGAACACACAGGCTATTTTTTTTTTTAGGGTGGTTTTAATGCACTTTTTTCTCCCTCCTTTTCCTCTCACAACTCAAACTGACAGCTAAGATTGGGTCAACGAGTGGAGCAGCGCTAGCACTATTGTTACAGGCAACGCTTCAGTGTTACTGTAGATTGAGGGTTTCCGTTTTGACAGCTGACACTTTTTTCTGACAGGCTGAATCAGAGAGAATGTTTCCGAAAATGAACAGGCTGCAAAAGGAAATGTGATATTTTTAGGAAGGAAAACGCAACTCCTAACAACATATCTATGCAATCATAAAGGCACACAAACGTTTCAAAAATAAAACAACACCGAAAAAAAACATCTCAAAAGTTAAGTGAGTTTTTCAAAGTGGATCACTTAAGATTTTTTTTCTTAAAGTTCAGATTTCAGAAGCACTATTTTCAGTGCCGGCTTTTGTAATTTGAAGCCCTCAATCCTGATACTGGGACTCAAAGAGAGGGACTTAATGATGTGATAAAAATGAGGCATAAAAAGCCTGTCAATAGAAAATGAATGGGTGTTGCCATTAATAGCGGTCTGTGGCATTCTTGCATTGCTGAAATGTATGAACTGGAATTTAATCCTCAATTAATGCAAGGACTTGAAAAAATTAAGGTCAAATATTGATAAAGTAGGTGCCTTATCCTCTTGAGCAGGCTTTACTCTAATTAAGTCAAATAACTTGAAAACTGAGTTGCTACAGTAAAGTTGGGCATTTGTGCTCTGAGATCACTCAGGTTGGATGCTGGGGTGATGGAGGGGTTGAAATAGCAGACAGATGAGAAATGCTATACAGTCCGTATCAAAATTTTAAGACCACTTGAAAAATGTAAAAAAAAAAAAACATATTTTGCATGGTTGGATCTTAACAAGGTTCAAAGTAAGCTTCAAAATGCAACAAGAAGAAATGGGAGAGAGACAAAATGTGTTTTTGAGCATGCAATTTATTGAAAACAATGCTTTAACTGAAACAGGCTGTTTTACAGCTGATGAAAAGTTTAAGACCACATGCCTTTGAAAGGCAAAATCTGTGTAAAAATGTGGATTCATTGTCATTTTCTGTCAGGTAGTCACACTGTCATGACGTTCTGATGGCAAAGCCAAAAAAAACCCATTCCATTTTTCAACATGGTCGGGTTGCTGAACTGCATATGCAGGGTCTCTCGCAGCGCGCCGTCGCTGCTGAGGTGGGACGCAGTAGTACAGTTATCTGGTATTTCTTAAATGATCCTGATCTGGGTTATGGAACAAAAAAGTCAAGTGGAAAACAAAAATAATTTCACCAGCACTGAGCCAGAGAATCCAATTGGCTGTCCACCAAGACACTGGACGATCCTCGACCCAGATTAAGGCCGTTACTAGCACCGATTGCAGCCCCATAACCATCAGACGGCATCTGAGACTGAAGGGATTCAAAAACAAAAAAGGTCTTCAAAGGCCTCGTCTGCTTGAATGCCACAGCACTGAGTGTTTGGACTTTGCAAGAGAGCACCAAACATGGGACATTGAAAGGTGGAAGAAAGTTTTATTCTCTGATGAGAAAAATGTAACCCTGTTGGTCCTCTTGATTTCCAATGTTACTGGCATGATGAGCAGATCCCACCTTAGATGTTTTTTACACACCACGGTGGAGGGGGCGCCATAATGGTCTTTTCCCTTAAGTGGAACAATGGAGCTTCAGGAGGTGCAGGGGCGTCAAACAGCCGCTAGCTATGTCCAGATGTTGCAGAGAGCATCCCTCATGATTGAGGGCCCTCGTCTGTGTGGTAACCAGTGGGTTTATCAGCAGGACAATGCTACAGTACACAATGTTCACAGGACAAGGGACTTCTTCCAGGTCCAAAAGAGTGATTTCCCAATCACGCTTTTGGACCATCCTGTGTGTTCCCCTGATCTAAATCCAGTTGAGAAGCTTTGGGGATGGACGGCAGGGAAGTTTACAAAAATGGACATTTTGATGCCCTTCATGCGGCCGTCTTCACCACTTGGAGAAATGTTCCCACTCACCTCATGGAAACACTTGCATCAAGCATGCCACACTGAATTTTTGAAATGATCAGCAATAACGGTGGAGCTAATCATTAATGAGTTCATGTTTGGAACTTTGATTTCTGTTTTCGGGGGGGGGGGGGTGTACTTTTTTTAAGGAGGTGTGGCTTTAAACTTTTGATTGGGACTGTATAACTGGGATTGTTTGTTTGTTATATAACGTGAGGAGAGTGAAGTATGTTATGTATGTTTCCTGCCTGAAACAGCTTCCAGTTTTCTCTCTGTGGCGTAGCGTTATGTCAATTCCAACAGGACACATTTTTGGCATTTTTTTTTAGAATCGGATAGACTTATAAACACAATTCTTAAAAAAAAAAAAACATTAAAATAATAATTTTTAGGTCTAGTTTTGGTAAGTGTGAAATTTCTACCAACTTTTAAGACTTTCAGAATTTTACACGATCATATTTATGTACTTTTTATAAATTATCTGAATTATTCGACTTATTTTCTTTTTTTAGTGTGTGAAATGTCACAATTATGTGTTCATTTTTTTACTGTGTCGTGTGGTGTGCTAAATAAAGACGTAATTAACCTGAAACAACTTTATCGCCAATATTTGTGTTGTGTACGTGAAGGCGGGCGGGCTACTCACCTATACATGATTCCCCATTGGCGGAAAACAGGCCGTTGTCATGGTACCCATCCCGGCACTCACAGTGATACCAGCCGGGCAAGTTGACACAAGTGGATTTACTGTCGCACTCGACAAAGCCGTCCGCACACTCATCAATATCTGGAGACGGAGAGAAGATAAGAAAAGAAATGAAGAAAAAGAAAAGTCACCTCGGATTTAGTCAACATATCATGTTGGTTCAAAATAGTTTTGTACAGTGAATGAGGGTGCTCAGCTGCATTCTTGCCTGGCAGGCATTTTCAACACCGACTGATTCATAATTGATAAAACAACATGTCTAGCATATCAGTAAATCTGGTCCGAAGGCTTTATTGATCAAGCATAGTTTCACAGCCAGAGAAGGACATCTGTATCAATAAAAGATAGCAGAGAATGAATGAATCTAACATAACAAGCTTATTCTAGGAAGACAGCAGCGGGGAGCGGCTCCGCAGTATGGTGGCTTATGCGCGCGAAAGATCCCTGGTTCGATCCTGAGAGGAGACACAAATCCCTTTGGGTTGTGTCAGAAAGGGCATCTGGCATAAAGAAAATCTGCCAAATCAAACACGTGGAGCTACCTTCCATGGCAACCCCCTTGTGAGTAAAGAAGCAGCTAAAAATAGTTTACTGTAGGAAGACAGAGATGTTACTAGCTTGTATCTGAAGAGGCCATAAAGCTCCTTTGCAGTCTCATCTTCTCATCAAAATATGCAGTAAAACAAATAAATTCCACAGTGCGTGCACAGTTTTCTACAACTCTGCTCGGACAAAGGAGTTTCTATAATGCCTTTGGCACAGCTTCTAACAACCTGTGGGTGGCTGTCAATAGATGGAGGTGATGTTTGTTTTCACAGAGGTCCACTTAGAAATATCCTTGACGCTGCCTCCTTCAGCTCTTCTGTTTAATACAAGACTTTAGCTTACACGTTCTGACTTTCTTCTTTTGCTTTTATCTCTTTTATTCTGTTTAATTCTCATTTTTCTCTTTCAGTCTTTCTGCCTACAGCTGGCCAACCTTCGACCCTTTCATTACGACGAGCGGCCTTGCAAGCAGCAACCAAGAACAAATCCAATACAGGTTTCAACAATGAGCCTAATACACACAGAGAGAAAGATTACTCTGATATTTTAGCTCGCATTTAATTAAACTAAGGACCGGGCCCACACGAGAGAGGAAATAAAGCCTGTTATTACGCAGTGGGGCTAAATATGTTAGGTCCAGACATGCACCGTGATTAAATGCGTCTGCATAGCCAGTGATGGCTTTTTTATGATTGTGCATGATGCATGATGCTCTGCTCTCATTATGAAAATGGCAGTGTGCCGTGTATGACCTTCTCTGCGACTGCCTGCAACAGTATCCCCCACAGAGCTACAGGCAGACGGGCTCATGGTTGAGCCCCCCCCCCTCCACCGCCCAGGCAGTAATGGGATTAAGATCTATTGGCTAATGAGCCCTCAGCCTTTTAATAGAATTCTGCAGCAGATTAATCGTTGATCAAATGTCCCACAGATTAGGGTTTTATCTATTTAAAAATCACCCGCATTTGTCTGCATGAACTGCAGGTTTTCTAAAATTAAAAAAAAAACTTTCCACATTGGTGAGGTTTAAAAAAATCTCGCTCCTACAAGCTGGCAGACTTTAAAAGTGAAACACACTTCACCAATTATATCAGTTTGGTGAGAAAGGAGCACCTTATTTCCCCCCCCTAAGGACAGCAATGTTGGCTTTAAAGGACGCTGTTTAAATCGCGAGTCTGCAGCAAATAGCATAACCAGCCGATCTTTGAAAATGAATATGAATTCACCCCACTCCTGAAGAGAAATATCCAATGCTCTTTGTTGCCTGTGAATTCCAGGGGCGATAAAAGCGCTGGGAGGTTTTAAAGGGAGGAGCTGCATGAGGTGGTGTTGCCAGTATATGAAAAAGAAATCATGCTGAATTTGTTGGAATGATTCTCTTCTCTCCAATGCGGTTGTGTGAAGTAGTTCAAAGTACAACTGAGTAGTCAGATTCTATTTATAACAAACACCGAGGGCGAAGTCAGTCTAAAAATATGCTAATGGGTTATTTTCAGCCAGTTTCATTCAGGTGTATTTAAAACGCTCGGCTGTCTGGTTGTAACAACAGCGGGTTACACCTTCAGCAAAAGGTTTGTCTTTCTTCCCCTTTTTATCTTCGCAAACCTTGCCAGCTACAATTATGGCGCAGCGCTTTTCAGCCTTCTGTCAAATCAACCTTTAAAGTGCTGCAATGTTTTAGGACAATGCAACTCATTGTTGTCGCACCTTGGATCCGACAAGGCTCGGTGTGCGAGGTGCGGCGGAGATGCGGCACGCTTGCACACACACACAAAAAAGTCTTGCCTCCCCTTTTATCATCTGGAGGATCGTTGTAATTAAACCATCAACAGCGACAGTCAGACAAGGGCGCTGCCGAGGAGCGCCGTCACTACTGAATCATGGCGCTTTCGCTTTTGTTGAATCACAGAAGTGGATGGCTGTATTTTTACTTGTTAAATCATGTCGTGCTTCTTCTTCTTTCTTTTTTTTTTTTACCTCTCTGCACTGGAAAAATAAAACCCAGTCCAAAAAACCCCCATCACCATCACAAATAAATAAAAAAATAAAAAAAATGCTTCTCTCTCCTGGAGAGGTCAAGGCAGCGGTACAGCAGTTATTTTGGACTTACCTCACTGCATGAAAGACTAGAAAAACAACACAGAAATACCTACGCAGAGGATGGGCCGGATGAGGAGGAGAACAAAGATAAACGCAAGAAGGTGGAGGACAGAAAGAGGAGTAGGAAGAAAAATTAGAAAGACGAGGAGATGGAGGAGGAATCGTTGAAGAGACACTGCAGTTATTCTTCTCGTTATCCTGAGTGGCAGCCTGGAAACAAGGGCTCTATTAAGGCAGCTCTCAGAGGACAAAGTGAGAAACAAGAGGACCATCTTTTCTCTGCCCTCCTCCTGGGCTTGTTATGCCACTCTGCCACGAACCACCCTTCCTCCCTTTATATTCATTCTCTGCCTTCACCTGTCCGTGTGTTAACTTTTTCCGCCAGCCGCCTGTCTCAAATCTAATGCAAAAATAGAGGTGCTCTAATTGTCACCGCTGCTAATCCCTGTGGTTTTCTCCCCCTCTGAGCAGAAAAAGCCAGAGTTTAGAGATGAGTTTAGCCTACCTCTTCTCTTCATGTCTACCTTTCATTGTTTCTGCTCCTGAACACCACTTCACATCATTCTCACTGGCTATTCTGATGCATAAAAGGTGCAATTCTTTGACTTCCCCTTCCAGCTTTCCTTCCCTTCACTATTCTTCCTCCCCTGTTTTTTTTTTCTTCCCTGCTTTGACTGACAGATAGCCCTAGGGGTTAGGATGCAATTCTGCTGCCTTGCATCACTCATTGCAAAGCCTGTCACTGCTGCCACGTGTACATCTCCCGTACAGTAACCTAATTCAAAAGGATTTCCATTTCCCTGCAAGTCCACCTGATAATCCTGATTGGCACAGGGAAGAATTATTCACACCAACAGCTCACCCTGCCATTTGTCAAGTCAAATGCCAGTGGAATATAAGTGGATTTTAAAATAGGCTGAATTTGTCATGTCAGATCAGGTTTAAAATAAAGGCTGAGAAAAGACCGGAGAGTCGATAATAATGTTTGCGGAGGCGATAACGTAAGAAATGGATTGCTGATCGCTGTTCTTTTATGTATAGTGAAGTGTAATTGAGTGATTGTCACTGATCCTCAGTCTTCATTAAGAGAAAGAGTGAACTCACATAAATCAATCGCTGTGAAACCTAAGGCAAACTTAGTTACACACTGACTTCCTGAAGATGAAACAGACACTGAAAAGCAAATCCATATCTGCAAGCACTTGAGTAGGAGAGTGGATGAGTAATCACGGCAAATTGGAAACAAGTCTGGTGAACAACTGGTAGCTGCAAGAGCATACAGAATGCAATCAGTCTGCATGCAAGTCTCCCCCACCCTTTAAAGCAGGCCTACAGCTGAGACTACAAACTGCTTTGCGATGGTTGTTTTAGTTATAAAAATAGAAGGAAAAAACCCAGAGAGGTCCTTTAATCGCAAAACGTCTGCCTGAGAGTATGGATGTGTTTGATAGATGAGCTAACAAGAGCATTGAGACACAAAATAAACATGTGCTGGAAACTTCTAATTTGAAGCTTATAATACCAGAAGTCATGCTAGAAGGGACTTTTGAATCTGCAATAACAGTATTTATTTGTATTAACAATTAAAAGTCAACCCATGTACATGACTGGTTCACTGTATCGCAGACAGGACTTTAAAAAAAGTCCTGTCCTGTCTTTAAAAAAAGAAGGAACATAACCTTCACAAGTTGTAATTGTTGTAATTGTCCACATTTTCTGCTAAGGTTAAGGCACTGAAGAACTGAAAACTGTCAATATGCAAAGTTTCAACATAAATAAAATTAAAAATGTTCATCAAGATAAGTGCAGCAATTTATAATTACCTCAAACTAACCATTAAGGCCAGCACAGTAATTTCAGTACTTTAAAACAGCGGTCCCCAACCTTTTTTGCGCCACGGACCGGTTTATGCCCGACAATATTTTCACGGACCGGCCTTTAAGGTGTCGTGGATGAATACAACAAAATAAAACTAGTACCGGTACCGAAAAAAAGAAAATTTATTCATAACACAGGTGAAAAGACCCAGGAAAACCGAGTAAACGATAAAAGCGATAACAAAATAACGCTGAAAACCGATAAAACCCTGAAAACCATAAATTTCACACCTGAGCCTCAACTCTCGCGGCCCGGTACCAAACGACTCACGGACCGGTACCGGTCCGAGGCCCGGGGGTTGGGGACCGCTGCTTTAAAAATTGCACAAAGTACTGCTGCTCTCTCATTTTACAACAAACAGGACACAGTCATTTTTTTATTTTATTTTTTCTTGTTCAGTGGTCAAAGCGGCCAGAGGCTCAGTGTGCCCCAGCTTGTGATTGACATTTGCAGGTCGTAGATCCAGGCCAAAAGAGAAGGCCGATTAAAGAGTTTACATTTACATGTAGTGTAAGTTATCACATGGTATTGTACATGTACTGTATTTAATAAAACTG